ACTCATCACCAGACATACTCAGTCATTAACAAACATAGCATCCTTACCAGTGTACGCCAGCTAAACCCTACTTCTTAGGGTACCCTGGGCACCTGACTGCCACTTCCACATTGCTCCCACAAGCACTGGTAACTTACTCATCCCAGTCTCCTTAGGGTAAAGCCCAGAATGTGGGACACAGTGGGGTGCTTGGTCAGGATTTGCACAAATTGGTACTGTGCTTTAAATTTTGACAGACTGTTAAGGGTAAGTCTCTCGCTCAGTGAGTTGTTTTCTGTCTCATTTGTTGTTCGAAGTAACTTTTTCTACTCAAATTCTTCTGTGAAATGTGAAAACAATTATATTGTGTTTTTAAGTTCTATCTAAAATATGAGTGGCCATGTTTAGAGAGAAGGAATTACCCAGTTTAGAAAGAAGGCTTGCATGTAAGGCTTGCATGTAAGCTTATAGTATACAAACTCCATGGTGTCTGCTTGGTTTCCTTAGACCTTACCCACGCTTTCAGGGTATGCATCATGTGGTTCACATCTTTCCTCACCAAAAAGTAAACAGGTTCTATTTGGGGACAGGCACAGGTTAAAGGCAAACTGTCGTTCCCAGCATCCTGCATTCACCTGCTCAGGGCTGTTCTGTTAAGGGCCTGTGCTGGAGAGATGGCTTGGGGGTTAAGACCATTTCCTGCTCTTGCAGAGGACATGGGTTCAGTTCCCAGCACCCACATGGAAGCTCACAACCATCTGTAATTCTAGGTCCAAAGGATGCATTGCACCCCTCTGTCCATCATGGGCTCCAGGCGTGCACACACATACATGCAGACACTTATAAAATGATTTAAAAATTATATGGCAAGTTACAAGAGGCAGCCCATGGAAGAGCACATAATCCCATATGAGAAGCACACTCTATAGGAGATAGAAGTACCTAGCTTTTTGGTCTGACCAGCTATAGCTACCTTTTAAAAGGAGCTAAGAAATAAAAAAGGGAAATCCTGCCGGGTGTGGTGGCACACACCTTTAATCCCAGCACTCAGGAGGCAGAAGCAGGCAGATCACTGTGAGTTCTAGGCCAGCCTGGTCTACATAGTGAATTCCAGGGACGCGGGGGCTACAGGGAGACCCCCTGTTCCAAAAAAACCAAAAAAAAAAAAAAAAAAGGGAAATCCTAAGTTTAATTATTTCACAGAACCAATTAAGTAAAAGTTAAATTATTTTCCCTCATAAAATCAAATCAGTGAGTACAAATGGATTTTTTTTAAAAATATGTGAAAATCAGGTTAACTTAGTACAACTTAGAATGTGAGAAAGACAGTGTGGTGAACAAGAACCAAAAAACAGGAAGCCAAAATAGAGGAATCAATAGGCTAGCCAAATAAATATGCTCAGAGAACTAAAGGACGAGTTTATGAAATAATTAACAACACATTATAAATCAATGACAAGAATAAAAAATACTGAATGTGTAGAGCTAACATAAACTGGTATGCAGAAGCCAGAAACAATTGTAGCACAAGTCTGTGAGGTGACCCACAGGGGCCGACAGAGAGAAAAGGAAGGAGCGATGGCTCGAGTTTGTAGTAAGTAAAGAACTGAATTCCTTAAACAGACCGATCAGGATACTTTTGAAAGATAGCATTCAGAGAAATCTGCACACCACAAGTCTTATCCAGTGATGATACATACAAATCTACACCTAAAAGATACTGTGTGAAGAAGCTGTCTGTTTAAACGTAAGTGGTTTATTTATTTAAATCGACCAAACATGGAATTTCAACAAATTCCTAAAAATTGGGTACTGCACAAAATCAATACATTCATCACAACACATCAATATTAGAAACCCACATTGAAGTAAGATCCCAAATTCTGTGCATGGAAACTGAAATCCTTACATCTAAAGTTATATAAACAATCTATGGGTTAAAGAGGTAACCAAAATAGAAACTGTAAAATATTTTCATACTAAAAGATTATCAAAGCACTGCATTTCAAATAGAACCAAACTGTACCTCCCCCAAAATTCACAGCCCAAACTGCATTTTATACTTCTAAAACAAACTAGGCTTATATCTCAAAAAGCTAGGAAAAAAAAATCACAAAAGTACAAGTAATTTTTAATATAGGAGTCCTAAGGACCAGCATTCTGCAGACTTAATCTCTATACTTTGGCCATTTGTGACCTTTTTTGTTCCTGGCTCTCTGTTACATGAGGAAGTTTCATTAATGAGAATTGAGATACTCATTAGTGTCCTCTATACCCCTTGTTCTATGTTCCGTGAGCCATAGGTGTAGAGGTTGCATTGTAGATGTGCCACTTAGGCCTGAGCCTAAGAGGCGACCATAATAGAAACTGTAAAATATTTTAATATTAAAGATTATCAAAGCACTGCATTTCAAATAGAACCAAACACACACAGTGTCTGTGTGACCAGCTGTGGTACTCTGCAATAGTCTCCATCTGTTACAAAAGAAGCTTCTTTGATGAGTGGTGACTGGGATATTTGTCTGTAAATAGAAGGATATATATTTTGCACATAGTAAGAAATATAAGGATATATAAGAAATATAAGGATATATATTTTGCACATAGTAAGAAATTGTCTAGGGATGTGACAGTCTTGGGGTTTTCTTTAAGATCTATGACCCCTCTAGCCATGCCTATTTGGCTGTGTTCAGAGTACCACACATGAGTTTCCTCCCATTCAGTGAGCTTTCAGTTCAATTAGATAGCTGTTGATTGCCCCCAAGATAAAAGTGCCACTACTATACCAATGTCATATGCTGTGCTGGTCACTGATGTGGTTATTTGGTCTTAAAGCTGGTGTTGGACTCTCAATTGATAGTCTCCCTTAGCACCTTGTGCAGGTATATTCAAAACTTGACTGGCTTGACCATAAAGGACCATAAAGAACAGACCTGCTCTCAGTCTGGATAGAACTATCCAGGGTCTAACCAAGGCAGTAAAGGCAAAAGATAGTAACACATAAAGAGGAAAAACTAACCATATGGACCAAAACATGTGGCTCAGAGAACACTCAGACCATCAGAATTTAAAAGTGCTGCTATGTGACTTTATACAAGTTCACTGTATCAAAACAAGTAACTGTCCTATCTCCATCAGCTGAAACCAATGCCACAGGAAGGGGCTGTTCTGAGGACAGCATAGTCTCTGCAGTACCTAGGAACTAACCTAAAACAAGTCAATACAGAGAACTTAAAATCCAGTGTCTGAATAAATGGAGCAAAGACTTCCTGTTTGCTAAGAGAAAAACAAAAACTGCAAAGACATGACTTTCCTCTAACTCATCTGTATACTAATGCAATGGACTCAAAATCCTAATGAAATATTTTTCTTTGATAATCTAGTTCCAAAATTATTATAAAACAGGATAGAGTGGGATGGAAGGCTTACATATTTCAAAATGAGTATGTGAGTGAGAAATGAAGATCTGTAGTGCATGGGTTTGGGGATACAGCTGTGGTAAGGCACAGACATGGATTTGGGGACAGCTGTGGTAAAGCACAGGCTTAGCATGCAGGAAGACTGAGTTCTGTCTGTGGCACCAAAGGGAGATTTGCATATTTGAAACACTAAAAATAAGGTGAAATAAGTGTAAGGTTAGCCAATGCTTTCACGGAAAATTGCTTTCCCTAGAGACTAAAAACCTGCAGGAATACGGAGAGGCACAAAGATAAACAGATTAAAGAGCAAAAAGCAGAGGTTAGAAATATGCTTGCATATGTGAAAATTTAGTATGTAATAAAAGAGCAACTCATGTCAGTAAGAAAAGATCAGAATATTCAGTAACAAATGCTGAAACTGTTCATCCATTAGAAAAATAAGTAAAATTCAGACCCTTATGTCAAATCAAGAATAAGATTCAGCTAATAAACACAAAAAATAACATTAGAAGATGTAAGAGAAAGTCTTTAAAAATACTGGCTACAGGCAACAATCTCAAACACAATTATCCCCTCAAATAAAAAATAATATTGATTAAATCAGAAGAACAAAGAGAGATAGATGGTCAGCAAACCATTAAGAGCACTGGTTGCTCTTGCAGAGGACCCAGGTTCAAATCTTAGCACCCACACGGTGGCTAACAACTGTAACTCCAGTTCCAGGGGATCTGACACCCTCTTCTGAACTCTGTGGGCAATGCATGACACAGGTGCACTTACATACATACAGCCAATGTACTCATATACACTTTAAAAAAAAAAACTGAAAATGTAATATGAACCTAGCTTTGAAAGTTCTGACTTCATTTGAACCATATACAGTCACATACTGATTATCAGTGGCAGCCCTAAGTTCTCAGACATTCAACATCATAGTGTGGATATTGTCACTATCATGCACGGCACACAACTGCACCACTACGGATTTATGTGGCTGACATCAGAATGGTCAGCATCATCACAGCACAGAAGCGACATGCTGCACTGATCTGTTTCTATGTTATGATCTCATTGGCCATAGGAATTTTTCAGCTTCATTATAACATTATCGGACCATCATAAATGCAGTCTGTAGTGAGCCAAAATTCCTTCATGCAGTGAATGATTTAATTTTCTTATTCTTTGTTTTTAATTTATGTATTTAAGATTGTTGAGAAATTAGGGCTCCTCAGCACTTCGTATTTCCCTAATCACAAAGAGGGTCTCATACTGTCTTTTTCACCTATTGAACCACTTCTTATCCAACACCAATCTATAATGTCCCCAAGTACTTTTGAACTTCTCTTTTCATATTAGATATCAAGTTAAGTTTCTCATGGAACAGTTTGGGAGCATTCGTATTCAGGAACAAGTGTCACCTCTATGCCAGCCTCTAAGCCCCTCCCCCATCTAGCTTTTCATCCATTTTGTTTTCTGGAGTAAATGGCAATTCCTCCTCCTTACTTCCTAGAAAAGTATAGGTAGTAGCTATGGTAGTGGCTTCCTCCTGCCACGTGCAGTTGCTTAGTAATCTGACGTAATGTCCTTCTTTGTCCTCCCCAGGTATGGAGCAGTGTCTGCAGGAATGCTATGTGCCCTTACCACCCTGTCCCAGCAGCTGGAGAATGAAAACGCTGTGGATGTCTTCCAGGTGGCAAAAATGATCAATCTTATGAGACCTGGAGTATTCACAGACATTGTAAGTAGCTTTCATGCACGTAAAACCTCCACATCATCAGCTGAGCCTCAGACTCGGGCTGGAGAATGGGGATTCTCTACTAGGGGTGTCTACAAGGGGGCATCTGGCAGTATCTGGAGACATCTTGGTTTTCACAACTGGACTGATGGAGATGCTCTACATTTAGTGTGTAAAGGCCAGGACTCCTACTGAACATCCTACCATGTACAAGACATCCCTTGACAACACAGAATTATCTGGCCCCAAATATCAGTAATGATACAGTTAAGACACTGCCTAAGAGTAGAGTTTGCCAGTTATAAAATACAGAAATTTAGTACCATATGCTAACAGAGACCAAATGACTATGAAGACAGTATGGATCTCAATGATTACAGAGTCAAGTGATTATTTTTAAAGTTTCCTTAGATAGCATTTCTGCTATTCTTATTTCATTAATGTCTGCATTTTAATTGGTATTTCCATTTAGATGAAGTGTCTAAGCTGTTCTTTCCTCTTGTCTTTCAGGAACAATACCAGTTTGTTTATAAAGCAATGCTCAGCTTGGTCAGCACTAAAGAAAATGGAAATGGCCCCATGACAGTGGACAAAAATGGTGCTGTGCTAATTGCAGATGAATCAGACCCTGCAGAGAGTATGGAGTCTCTGGTGTGACTGGAGCCCTGAAAGGGCGCTTCATTTGTAAACTTCTGAAGACTGAGAACTTTTTTGAGGCCTTTTTTTGCCAGACTCTAGGTTATACAATAACCCAGTTACTTTTTTACACTGATAAAAGTTTTGATATTTATTTTTTGCCATTTTATGTCTTAATGGTATCCTACTGAACATTTGCACCTCTGTTCATTTCACACAGTGAAACGCAACTTTACCTAGTTTGCACTATATGATCAGTGTTACTGCCTATAATCCAGTACTAAAGCAAACCCTGATATGACATTCCATGGCAGCATCCGTGCTACTTTTGAGTTTAGTGCAGTGAAGGTCTTTGTTATGACAGTGACTCTTGGTTTTATTATTACTCTAAAGCAGTTGCATTCTACCAGCGGGCAATGCTGTATGTCTCTCAGCCCTCCCCTCTGTTCTTAGGCACTGCTCAATACTATAATGCCTTGTGTATTTTACTGGAGTGGATGGGCATTGTTTCCCTTTACATAACAGCAGGTACTGGGAGCTACTAAGAAAGTCTGTTAACATCAGGGCCTTGAAGCAGCTCCATTTGTGATGGTTAAGAAATCCATTGAGCAATTAAGAGGGCTTTAAGAGTTGCTTCATGTGAACATCTCTTATTAGTTACCAACTTATATTCATATCTTTAAAAATGTGTCAAAATAAAGAATAATTCTGTATTACAGATTTCACAGTAGCTATGTGAACAGTGTGTGTTATTTCCACTTTGACTCTCTGAAGCAACTACACCCCAAATCAGGGCTGTCCTTTACAAAAGAACGATGGCAGTGGTTCATACAACTCGGCTACGACACAGTGCTGTACTTCACAGTAGGTAGAACAACACCACAAAACTGCAGGTTTTTAATTTTAAATCTAGTCTTCAAAAAAATTCCCTACTACTCATATAGTAATCCAATAAAAACTACCTATATAGTTAGCATTCTTTTCTTTCCTTTTTTGCCAAATGTTTCATAATCAATCTCTTAATTACATGCATTCTCTATTTAAGATTGAATTGAAAATACCATATTAGCAAGTCTTGAGACATCAAAATTCCTACGTATGTACCAACCTTACTGGTTGAATCTTGAAAGAAAAAATTCAGTTCTTGAATGAAAGGTGACATCTCCATTTTCAAGTAGTTTTTAAGAGGAGAATTTTGGATCCCCATGGAGAGAGGCATATCAGTAAAAGATGGCCACAGTCATTAGAGAGCTCCAGGTCCAACCTGTGGAGCTGCTTTCAGCCCATTGCACATAATGGAGAAACTGGAAGTACCGTTAAGAAAAATTTCATTTGAGCTTATCTTAAAAAAGAAGAAAAGAAGCTACTCACTGAGATCTGCATCTTTCTTTACATGTTTGTTTTCGAAGGCCAACTTCTGTCAGATCTGAGATCATCACCCAAAACTGGGCCTATGAAGAACAGGGTTTGGTTTATGATTTATGCCAATAAGCTTCAACATAAAGGCCTGCTAATTATTATCAGTCTTTCTGGGTAGCATGAGCTGCTTAGCAGAAACTAATCAGGGTAGTCCTGGACAACCAGCATTGCTAAGGGGAGAGGGTCTACCAGCCAAGTCCAGAGGCTTCAATGCAGTGGCTAAGTCAATAGAGTCCTGAACATAATTTGTCCAGGTTAATTTCATCTTTTCATTCAACCACATGGACTGTTCTGCCGTTCAAGAACTAAGTAGGCTAGTGTTCCAAAATAGCGATCAGGTGAGCAGAGTGCTAAGGTGTCTGTGCTAAATCGGCACACTTGAGCCCATCTCCCAACCCTCCACCAGAAGTGGCACCCAGCCCAATCCAAGGCAGACCTGAAACATAAGAAATATCACCATTGCTGGAGGCTGAGGGGAGTAAGGAAAGGAAAAGAAAAATTTTAGTCAATCAAGTGGATTCTTCTGGTTGTATAAAGATTTGATATTAGCTAATGCTATTTCAGTTAGCTGGCTCAGTGGCCTTGCCACTCAGAATTAAGGTTTGTGTTGTAGTTCATGGTCTCTCAATTTTATCTTAAGAAAAGTAAACATGATTTAGAAGACAAATTGTTCTGTGCTTAGTGAGGACTCAATTTATGTAATTACTCTCCATAACCCTATCTCTTATGTTTTCTTGGGTGAGAGAATGAGGATGAAAGGCAGAAAGGAAGTGAGACAGAAACATGATCAAGTTAGGTTAGCAGCTCTCTGTAGGGAACCTGTGTCTGCAGCAGGCTTGAGCCAAAGCCTATAGATCCCAGCCTACTGGACTGTGAGCAGTTGCTCTGTGCCCATCTTGCCAAAGTGGTCCACACACCCTTCACTGAGGCCGTTATGTTCAGCAGTCCTCACTGTCACTACAGCTTTCTCCTCACCATTACCATTCACTTGTTCTTGACAAAATCATTTTGCATCTTTCTAGAGTCAGAGAGTTCCAAAGATGGGGTTTTCTTTGAGACATAAGCACATTGCTTAAGTCCATAACAAGGTTATTACCACTTGAACTCAAGGGGAAAGGATATAGCTATTGCTAAAGTTAATGTGCTAGTTCATAAAATAAGTCGTCTGTGTGTATGAATTTAGCTCTAGGTAAACAATACACACATCAAACGAAACTGAACTGTTATGATTAGACCAGGTGGGCATGCTGGACATCAAAGATGTATTGTTGACATCAGAAGTTTCTTGTGCCTGAAACCAGAATATCATCTTTAATAATTCTTTTGAAAAGTTACCTTCTGAGTTTCAGAAACAATAGTTCATTGGTTTCTTGAATTTTTTATGCCTTGGAGCATCTAGAGGCCATTTCAAGTAGGAGAGTCCATCAAAGTCAAAGAAGGGTTATGGTGTTCAAGGTCTGGTTGGTAGCTTTTAGCCCAGAGTGACTATGAAAATTAATAAATAACCTTAATTATTTTATGACACAGCACAACTGCCTTCTTATGACTTTTTCTTAAATGCATATATACTATATTTAAAATTAAAATATAGATAACAATTTACCAAAGAAACACATTACTAATTCTAAGCAAAAAATTTAAAAAAGAAACCCAATCTCATCATAATTTAAGAGAAAGTAATCAAAATGTAGTTGTCTTAAGAATTTAGCAGTTATACCAGAAAATGCATTTTCAATTCCTGTGTTCTAAAATTTCTGTTCAAATGGTGCCAGTGAATTTTTATGAAGGGAAAAAAAAAATGCCTGCTTTTTTTTTTTTTTGGTTTTTAGTCACTGTAATTTCCCATAACCCTTTGCACTTTCCCTTGGTTGTCATTTAACATACAATATTGGCTTCGCTTATCTCTAGAAGGAAGGCATGCAAAAAAAATAAATAGGAAGGAGTTGTAATATTTGGCCCCTACTTTTGTCTTAGCTGTTAAAATATTTTTAGTATTTTTGTTAAATATTTGCAAAGGGAAGCATTTTCTACAGAGGATAATTAATTTCAAGAAAAATATCTTGAGTTTTAAGAATTAAACATCTCCAGAAAAGGAGACAGTCAATTTTATAAAATGTCACAACTCTCCAACATTTGGGGTAGTGAATCCTTTTTTGTTAGGACATTTGAAACTAGTAAGCTGCCATCATTTCTAAAGAATTCAGCCTTCCTGTGGACTCATGTCTTTTTCCACTTCCACTTCATTTTCAAATAGCTAAAATCATTAAAACTGTAAATATTTTGTTGCTTGGATAAGCATCTTCTCGGAACTTTGTATCTATGGTATATAATCATAGAATTTTATATTTTCATATAAAGCTAATTTTTTTCTAGTTTCAACTCTGTCATAGTTTTTTTGTTTTTCTTTTTTTGTTTTGTTTTTTTTTTTGGTGGTGGATATGTGAATTCAACTTTCTGTGTATTGAAGTAGCAAGAACCATCTTTACATTCCAAAAGAATCCAGTATGTGTTATTCCTTTGAGGCAGTGATTGTGAAAGTTGGGCTTTCTTTTTAATTCCATTGACCTTTTGTGCAATAGGAATTAGACATGACTAGTCACTGAATACATTTGTTGCATTGACCCATTTGGAAAAAGTGATTTTTTTTTTTAATTTGTTCTGGGGGGAGGGGTTTTGTAACCTGAAAACTTTCCTTTTTTTCTTTTGTTTAAAACTATATCAAATCATTCTATTATAGTGTTATTTAATATGTAAATTGTATTGCTATACACAAAATAAAGTATGGTTTTTGATGTACTCATTAGTTTTGAGCATTTCTATGAAAATGAGATTACTGTACCCCTTCAGAGACCACACTGATGTTCACCAGCACGCCATCTTAGTTTTCACAGTAGTAAAATGAATGTTAATCATCATCTTTATAAACCAAAACAGACATGTCCTTGCTTAGGCTGATTTATTGATATTCCTCTTTTTACAACTAAGCCAGACACAGTTTCACCTGTGTCAGACATCATCTGTTTTGTAGCTCTTCTTCCAGTAGACCAACTACAATGGAACTTCTCTTAACATTTACTGTCTAGGATAAAGGCTATATCCTGACTTTTGGAGAATCCATGGAATATGCATAGGTGTTTCTACTTATAAGCAATTCTGACATTTCCAAAGCAGTACATAAGTTCTTGATTTACCATTCTCTTTTTGCTTTCTGAGACATGGTCTCACTGTGTAGTGCTGGCTGACCTAGAATTCTCTATGTAGACCAGGCTGGCCTCTTCACCTACCTCTGCCTTCCAAGTGCTGTAGTTAAAGGCGTGTGCCACCAACATAAGCATTGAAATTTCATTCTCTCTAAAAAACTGGGGATTTCAGAAACAGTGTATGAGTCCTTTTCGGGAGCATACAGAAGAATAATTCAAGCAAAAAGAATGGCTTCCCTTCCCACCTTCCCTCCTTCTCCCTTTTTGTCAGACAGGGTCTCGCTATATATCCCAGCTGACCTCAAACTTGAGGTACTCCTAACTTAGTTTTCCAAGTACTAAGAATACAGGTGTGTTCCAATATGCTCTATAAGACTGCATGTCTTTGATGATATAATCCTAGTCTTCCTGAAGTTAGACTTGGGGACTCTAACATGCTATATCAGATAGTATATCAAAAGATCAAAAAAGTATAACAAACTGATGCTCTACAGATCTTGGTCAGTCCACAGATGCATTTTATTTGACCTGTTTTTTTTTAATATTTTATTTATTTTCATTTTATATGTATGAGTGTTTTGCATACATGTGTGTAAGTGCACCCATGTCGTGCAATGCCCATGGGGGTCAGAAGAACGCATTGGATCCCCTGGAACTGGAGTTACAGTTGTTAAGCCATCACGTGGGTGCTGTGAATTGAAACCAGGTCCTCTGCAAGAGCAGTCAGTGTTCTTAATCACTGAGCCATCTCTCCAGCCTTTTTTTTTTTTTTTTAATTCCTATTAGTTACCAATGTTTAAAGAGTCTTTTTACATTTAGGTTTCAAGCTCCTTTAAAAAAATGTGAGTGGTGGTACACTGTAGACTTAGTCTCCCACAGCAACAGTGTCTGGCCACCCTCAGTCATTTAATTCACCTTCCTAGATCCCGTGAGCCTCTGGAATGCACAGTCAGAACACCAGGGCCACCTCCCACCCCAGGTTGGTAAACCAACAACCAAAAGCAGGGGAAGCATTTACACTGATCTTCCATCATTCAAATCCTGCCATAGGAACAGAGCACATTCCCACATTCCCAACTCCCTTGGGGTCAACAAAGATGGTGCCATTAAGTAAGACATTATGACTGTTAGAAGTAATTTAACCAATTTTCCAGCTCCATGGCTTTTACTGTGCAGTATCTCTAGATAAGGAAGCTTCATTTCTATTACTAAGAATGAGGGGTAAGTGCAAAAGTACTGCTCTAAATCCCCCATCTTTTTACACACCAATTGTGGAACTTTAATTTAGGGACAAGTCCTTGACAGGTACACCCTGATTCAGAGAGAGGATCACAGACAGGTTCAAGCTAGGTGTGGTAGGTCCTATTCCTAGTACTTGGGAGGTGGTGATACAAGGATTAGGAGTTCAAGATCATCCTCAGCTATGTAGTGAATTCAACTGCAGCATGGGTTACAAAAGACACTTTCTCAAAGCCATCTCCCCCGTCCCCCCAAAAAATCCTACTGGCTTTACTTTGTATCACCTCCTATGTTAAAGAAGATGAAAACCACAAGTTGGCTACTAGCAAGTTCAAGTTTTCTGTTGTGATTACAAAGTTAACATTTGGCAGGGAGGATAATAAGAACATATATTGCTTAAAACCTTAAAAAGAAGAGGCAGGTGGATCTCTGTGAGTTCAAGGCCCCTAGTCTACAAAGTGAGTTCCGGGCCAGCTGGGTCTACAGGGAGACCCTGTCTCCAAAACACCAAAAGAAAAAAAAAGTGAAAAATAAATTAATGTTATCTGATGTGTCCTCATAAGGTAGTTACTTTCCCTTCCCACACTCTACCTCTGCAAGGTGTAAAGTCAGACAGCAATATCTAATGAACCTTGCAAAGTCTTAGATGTTCTAAGTTACAGACATCTTTAACATTATGTTAGAATTCATCTCAAAAGTAGTTGCTAAAATGGAGCCTAACCCTAACCTACAGAACATAAAATCACTGAGAGGAATTTCAAGTCTTAAAAGTGAGTTGTTTAAACTCAATGTTAAAACCACTTACCTAGTAAGTATGAGGTCCTGGGTTCAACCTCCAGTGGTGAAAAAAGTTATTTAATTTATTAAAACATACTTATGTGCAGGCCTAGGGAGCTGGATCAGTAAGTGTGTGCCATGCAAGTGTAAGGACTCATAAAAACTGGGCCTGTAGCACATGCCTGTAACTACAGAGTGGAGGAGTGAGGTTGAAAAAGGAGAATCCCCGGGGCTTGCTGGTGAGGCAATTCAGCTGAAACAGCAGC